TCTCTCTTTATAGAGTTAGGAAATACATGTGGACCCCAGGAACTCCACGTCTCTCCCACGATCACGAAACCAGATTGAAACTGAGATTGGACCAAAACCCGTTCTCTTGACTCCCAGCTCCTGATTCGCTTTGGGAGCCCAAACGAGCTTTCGTTGAGGATGTTTAATGGTGGGGAGTTGGGGTGGGCGCACAGGCATTGCCCCTCTCTGCAAATGGGTTTCACCACAGAAAAGGCACCAAAATCTTGTCTGGTCTATGGAAAAGTGTTGGCTAAATCACTTCAGCTGAGTCATTCAACAAACATTTATCCACCACCTAACCTGCTATGTGCTAGGCAAATTCCAGAGATACCGCGGCCCTTAATAAACTGCACAGTGCTTGTGGGACTTTACACATGAGGGAGACACGTCCTGGGCGGTGGCGAGATGATGTGGATGTCAGGGCAACGTGGCAGGTGCTCAGGGGTCATAGAGACAGGGCAGGGTGGATAAGGACACTGGGGCGTGTCCTGCCCCAGATAAGGGGAAGGTGACTTGCAAACTTGCCTGGGGAGGGGTGACAGCCTGTGCCAGGAACCAGCATGCCTGGGGAGCAGGAGAGGGGCAACCCGACAGCCTGGGATTCAGGAAGCAACCTCTTTTGGCCTCGGTCTCATTCAGTGGTCACATCATGGAATAGTCTCTTCTGCACACTGACCTTGATCCGATGCTTCTTACCAGTGTACAAATCAATCATGTCACATTTTAGGGGAGGAAGAGACTTTTCTCTTACCTTCAAGGTTATTTCAACTGGTCTAATAATTAAATTATGGGACAGATTAACAAGAGAAAATAACCAAATTTAATTAACATACATACACATGGGAACCCCATATACATGAGAGAGTCAGCGACCCACATACATGCAAGGTTCAGAGGCAGCAAGGAAACATGGGGAGAGAGGACATTCTGAGTTAAGGATGATGTAAGGCGCCTGTGGGGGAGGAGGTCAGTCTCACGATGATAGGAGTGTTCTCCTGAGGAAATGACATTTGGGCCAAGATCAGAAAGATGTCCAAGAGTTAGCTTGATACTGATTACCTCTAATCTTATTGAGCAATTACCTAAGTCAGCTTCACTTGTTGCATTCACTTCTTTAATCCTCCCAACAACCCGGCAAGGCAGGTATTGTTATTTTCTCTCCATTTCACGGGTGAATAAACTAAAGCACAATGATGTCATTCTCCTGGAGGTCTCCAGCTCCAGGTCTTAGTCCTCAGTGGGAGGCTGTGGAGGTGGGTGTGGTCTGGGAATGAAAGGACCAACTGCTGATGTGCAGGGCTGTTGAACTAGAATCCAGATGAAGCTGGTAAAGAGAGAAAGAGCCACGTCGTGAAGATACAATAGTTTGTGATATTCACGCCAAAAATTGCATTGTTTTGCCTATGGCCAGCAGGAAATATTTTAAAGCAGGGAGCACATGATCATACTTCAGAAAGGTCACTCAGGCTGCCGTAGCCAGGCATCCGATAACGGTGACCTTGCCTGAGGAGATGTAGAGAAGCAGACAGATGAAACAGTGTCTGCTGGAAGTGAGCATCTCCAGGTAATTTAAAAGAAAGACTGAAGTCTCTTAGAAGCAATGATGTGAAATATGCTAATTACCAATTTTTTTATCCAGTCCTTTATAGCAGTTTGGAAGTTCTTAAACTGATTCCCATATATATGAAAAACCATAGCATGCAGAGGATGTGTTGTAGAATGGTGCACCTGACATCTGTATAATTTTGTTAACCAGAGTCATGCCAACAAATTCAATAAAAAGAAAAAAAACATAATATGGATTGCATTAAAATATTCTATAATTTTCCCTGGCTGGTGTGACTCAGTTGGTTAGAGTGCTGTCCTGTCCACCAAAAGGTTGGGGGTTCGATTCCTGGTCAGGCACATACCTAGGTTGCAAGTACTGGAAGACAACTGATCGATCTCTCTCTCTGTCTCTCTCTCTTTCTCTCTTCCTTTCCCTCTCTCTAAAATCAATAAGCATGTTCTTGGGTGAGGATTTTTAAAAAAACACCTATAGCCATATCAGGTTTGGCTCAATAGATGGAGCATTGGGCTGCGGACTGAAGGGTCCCAGATTCAATTCCAGTCAAGGGCACGTGCCCGGGTTGTGGGCTGGGCTCGATCCCCAGGAAGGGGCCTGCAGGGGGCAGCCAATCAATGATTCTCTCTCATTGATGTTTCTCTCTCTCTCTCTCTCTCTCTCTCTCCCCCTCTCCCTTCCTCTCTCTGAAATCAATAAAAATATTTTTTTAAAACCACCTGTAATTCATTCAGCCAATTGGAAACCATGTGAACGACCTGCTTCCTGGCACCCGGGTCACCATGACCCACCTTCTCAGTCCCTTCTGGCCTTGACACCATCAGGGTCCTGAGGGGCTGCTGTGGCCAGGGCTCCCAGGCGGGACACTCCCTGTTAGGGCCTCTCAGGCACCCACTCTGTGCTAGGAAATGCCCCTGACCAACTCTAAATGCCAGCCCACAACTTCCGCTTCTCCAAGTTTGACTCCCAGATTACTTCTTTGCCGCGTGGCTGGAATGGAGTTCTGGTGAATAACTTCTGCCAAGATGACGAGCTGGGTTTCTAAAGACAGATGTGTGGAGAGGATATTTTGGGTATGAACGTCTTTGGCAGAAAATGGAATGGTGTGGAAATGTGGAGTCCGGGGTTGTTTTCTCTGCCTGTGGTTTTCCGGGGTCCCAAGTAGGGGGCGGGGGGGGGGGGGGTGTACAGAGAGGGCTCCGCCGTGGCGGCAGGGATTCGCCACAGAGGAAGTGGCCTCCCAGTACCTGATTGAGTCCAAGTAAGACACCGAGGACACGTCTCTTCTTCTGAGAAAAGGAGCATCATGGGCTTTCAGGACTGGAGAACGTTCCCTGCCGGATGGGAGCTGGGATTTGTAGCTCCTGTGTGTGTAGAATACGTGCTGATCTGATGGGTCATCTGACCATCCTCGGATTTCTAACGCTTACATTCTGTTCAAGTTCAGATATGTCTATGGAAGGCAGAAAAATACAGGCTAAACCCTTCTCTTGGGTTTCCAGGAAACTGCCAGTCCTTTCCGAAACGCATTTAGTGCTGTTTCCTCCTGGACGTGTGTTTTGCGCCACCTTGTGGGTACATTGGGAACTGCGCCTCCCCAAGCTTCTCCGGGCTCAGAGAACCACCTACTGTAACCCTCCCCAGCTGAGAAGGTGGGAGGGGCCTGCCACACCCACTGACCCCCTAAAAGCAGGTTCCAGGCTTGCCCACAGGACAGAATGAGCATGATGAGAATGTTAATCTTCCCTGCTACTGTGCACTGCTCCACATCATCCACAACTGCCATAGCCCATAAAACTGTACACTGCAGGTGGAGATGGGACAAGGCCTGCACGGCTCCTCAAGTCAGGTGCTTTCGTAAGAATAAAGTGCTGAGGCCTTCTTTTTCTTTTTTCTTTTTTTTCCAAAGGGAGCAAGAAAATGGGAAGTGAAGGTTGGCAGCAGCCCTTCCTGCTTGTGAAGTACTAGCCTTTGCAGCACTTCTCTGTGGGTACTGAGCTGGAGGGGGTGCTCTTCGCACAGGAGCAGAGCAGGGGCGGGTTTCCATCACATGCACTGCAGCTCGTCTTAGGTGTAAAGACAAGCCCAGAAACAGCATAGGGCCCGAGGGGCCGCCCGGGCTTGCACCTGGCTGGGTGAGGGGCCTTTGGCAACAAGCTCTTGCTGGTCGTAGGAGAACAGAACATTGTGGGCTGTGTTGGGAGAGGAGAGAACAGAGTTTCAGTGCCTCACAGCCTGCTTTTCAATGTGCCCTTCGCATACCAGCCTTGGGACCTTGGACATGAGCCTAAGACAATCAGTCTGCTAGTCTATAAATCAGGGATAATAGTAGGACCTGCCTCGTGAGATTCTTGGAGGATTAAATGAGATATAGCCCCGGCTTGGCTCTTGGCTGACTCCCGTAACTGGTCCGTGTGAGTAAGCAATGCCTGCTGAAGTTCCCTGGACCCCTAACATCTGGTAGGAAGGAGGGAAGTGATAGGACCAGTGGCAGGTCAAGGGTATCTGTTCTATCAGAACAACCCAAACTAGGTCATTGTCTCTGAGGAGGTAGATCGGAACTGCAGCGTGCCTGAAGGAGGGGTGCAGTCACAGCACTGAAACGTGCTGGTGATGCGAGGCTCCCTGTATCCTGTGGCCGGGCTCCCCACCCCCATGCAGACACGTGCCCAGGAAGCACAGTGGGGTGATGAGTGGCTCCCACAGCTCTCCCAGGGGTCCCCTTTGAGACGGAAATCAGCCGAACTGCCATGTGAGGTCTGGTGGACAGGTAGTGTGCGTGCTGGTCAGCCAGAGGGTGAATGTGGCTCTTCCGAAAGCCATCTGAGGGGACTCAGGATTTAGCAGCAAAACCTGAAGGCAGCCCTTTGTCATTTCTCTTCTCGTTCATTAACAATCCTAAGGTCTGGAGTGTGTGTCTAGCGTGTCTAGAGGTTGCCATCACCTCACAAGAAGGAAATATGCTTTTATTATCTACCATGTGCCAGGCACTGGGCCAGGGAGTTCAGACATTGAATCTGCGCAGCAGCCCTGTGAAGTAGTTCTTTCACCCCTTTTACGGGTGTGGAAGCTACAGTGCAGTGCAGTGAAGTGGGTAGTGAGAATGGGGCTGGGTCAGGAGGGAGGGCGGATCATCCTAGCGGTATTGCATCTTTCCTCACAGCACCAGGCACAGTGCCTGGCCTCAGGAAGAGCTTAGCAAATGCCTGCTGAGGGGAGAATGGAAGGATCTGTGTGGCAAAGGGGCATTCGGACACATGGCAGGTGCCCCACTAGCTCTGAAAGACCAGCTGTGTGGAGCAGCGGCTGGCAAGTCATCAATTTAGAATTCACTGTCCTCGGGCCAGTGGCCTGCTGGCCCGCAGCCAGCCGTGTACAAGGGCTGACTTGATCAGCTTTGGCCGTTTTATTTTAGGCACCCCACCTTCCAAAGAGGTGCCGGCTGGGAACTACCCATTCATCGTCACCTCTGACGACGGACGGAAGGTTCCTGTGGTCCAGGCCTATGCTTTTGGCAAATACTTAGGCTATTTGAAGGTTGAGTTTGATGCAAAAGGAAATGTCATCACGTCCCATGGAAATCCCATTCTTCTCAACAGCAGCATTCCTGAAGGTACGTGAAACGGGGCCATGTCCCACTAACCCCAGAATTAGGTGGCTGGATTTTTCCTCCTTTTTTTGTTATTATTTCAGGACAAGACTATAATATTTTGTAGAATTGGGCTTCTCCCTGAATTTATCATTTTCGTGGATAAAGAGATTTAAAACACCCAAACACCACAAATCCCTGTTTGCTTTTTTGAGTCCTTTTAGCATCAGACACTGTCCTGCCTCTTGGGCCTTTTCAAGCTTGGCCCTGGCGTGGGAAAGCCACTCTCAGCTCACGTCCAGAGGACAGCTGACGACGGAAGCAAAGGGGTTCCGACCCGGCAGAGCAGGGCCCCGGCCCTGCCCCGCCCGACAGCAGTGTGCCTGGGGCAAGTCGCCCCAGCTCAGGGGCTTCATTATTTATCAAATGAAGGAGTGTCTTTTTTCCTTTTTGGTCTGGGACTTAGAGTAAAAAATACATCTTATGTCATCCATTTTCATCCAGTATGCACAGACACACTCCTACACCTCTCACCTGCCGCCTGCTGCTTAGCGTGATCAGGTCAGGGAAGGGGGCCTCTGAGGGGCCACAGTGCCCTGAAGGGCAATGGTCCCCACACAGCCACACAGACCTCCCAACAGCCAGCGGGAGGGGCCGGCCACACAGACGGCAGAACCTCAGCAGCCTGTGTACTTGCCCCTGGGCCTTCATCACCCACCAGCACCGCCAGCGCCGTCGCAGGCGGGCCAGCCGGGACTCAGAGGTGATGAACTGATGGTCGGAGACGCCGCACGTCTTCAAATAAAGGTTCATTCCAGGTCTTAGTACCAGGAAACAGAATAGAGGCTCCTAAGGAAGTTGCATAGTCAAAACCACAATGTACACAAGCACGGTAAAGCAACGCGTACTCACACAGGTTGCGGAATGGTGTTTGATTCCTTCCTCAAAACGGAGGCCAGTGTGGGATCGGCTTTAACTACAGACTGATTTTTTTTGTTGTTGTTATTTATTTATTTTTCTTCTAGATCCGACCATAAAAGCAGACATTAACAGATGGCGGATCAAACTAGACAATTATTCCTCCCAGGAGCTGGGGAAAACCATCGTCTACCTGAACGGCTCCAGTCAGTCGTGCCGCTTTCAGGAGTGCAACATGGGCAACCTGATCTGTGATGCCATGGTGAGTGGTCCACGCAGTGCAGGGCCCAGGCTAACGGAGGGGAAGAGGGAGGAGGAAAGGGGGAGGGAAGATGCTAGGGCGACAACCTGATGGTTATAGAACTGAGCATTTAAAACAAAGTCAGTGCCCAGACAAAAGCTGGGCAGGATTCACACTGAGCACCTCGGGAAGGAGTGTGAACGAGACCAGCTGACCATCGCTTGGATCTGCAAGGACTGAAGCCTTTATTGTAAGGTGTTCATGGTTGGATGTCTGGATTTGGGTGTTGCTTTTCCTGTAAGATGATCGGAATACGCAAACTCTGCTCCTCTGAGGATGTAGACACAGTAGGTAAAACACATCTGCTGGGGCCTAACGTGGAGACTGCATTTCCCGGGTCTGTCCTCTTGGCTCCAGAGAACGAGGGCTGGTGGCACCGGAACCTCCTGCACAAGCAGAGGGTGACAACACACACTCACGAGGATGATAACCACTCCTGAGGCTGAGCAAGGTGACCCAGCAAAGCACCGCTCTGCCCACCCCTCTGGGGGCTTTGCTGGGCCAAGGTCTCCCCAGTCAGAGGCAAAGCCCACACCCACGGGGCTGCTTCTCAGCCTGTGCTCTGCACATGCCTGGGACACAGCCACGCTCAGTAAATGTCTGCCGTGTAAATGAGTGTTCACGCTCTCCACGGTAAAACCACGGCTGTGAGGGAAGTGGCTAGAGATTCGCCAGGACGTGTGATGTTTCCAGGAAGGTCCCGAAGGAAACACCCCAGGCCGTAAGCTGTGCCGCGCCAGCACGGCCACAGGTGGCCCTGAGAGGGGGCGGTGAAGGATTGAGAAAAGACAGACAAGAGAAGAAAGCTGGGTCTCCGTGGGATGCTGCCCTCTCTGATGGAGAGCTAGGGACAGCGCCACAGACTACAAGCCGTGTCTTTATTTCATAGCCAGATTCCACGAGGCAAAGTAAGGGCGTGGTCAAGATGTTTACAACATTCTCGTGGGTTTCGATCCTACTCAATTACATGCACCTGAACTCTATCAAGCCCACATCACTCAGACACATGGGGCCACGTGTTCAGACCATAGGTTCAAGCTTACAACTATAGCTGTTGGCTATAATTGTGCTGGGAGGGCCCTGCCCTCCAAGCTGGGACTTGCACGTGGCCATGAGAGGACTGTGCCCTCTCATTAATCCGAGGCTTGAGCCTATCCAAACACTGTAGCCGCTCTCCACAGTAAGCAGTGCTTACCTCTCCGCTAAGAGACTGGGGCCAGGGTAAGAAAACTCTCCGTTTTGCACTATTTTTTTTTTCCAAACTAGAATATATTCATTTTATTTCTTGTAACTAAACATATATTTTGTAAAAGAAGAGTAAGAATGCAACTGATTCTCCCCAGTTTCAGGAGGCTGTCCTTGGGCCTTCAAAATAGCTGGTTGGGAATTGGCTGGGGACCTGGATGTGGAGGCCAGGGTCCTGTGGGCCTGAGGCCTGGAGTCAAAAGGCTTTCAGGTTCCGCCTTCAGGAGCCAGTGTGGGGCCGGCCGTGGAGGGACAGCCCCACTGGCCAGTCCGCACGGAGGCCCGTCCTGACTCAGAGCCGGTTCGCTGAGGCCCGTGGAGAGCACGGGGTCTTAGGAGAGGGGCTCGGAGCTTGAGATGGGTCACCGTGTCTTATTTTCCTTCTCATTCTGATGACTCTTGAGAGTTCTCTGGGAACAGGGGAGCGGGGAAAAGCAGCTTCATGTCCTCAGGAGAGCCAACCACATTCCTGGACGGGATTTCAAGGAGGAAGACCCAGAATAACTCACGTAAACTCTGCTACCGTTGCAGATTAACAACAACCTCAGACACTTGGATGAAATGTCCTGGAACCACGTGTCCATGTGCATTTTAAACGGCGGTGGCATCCGGTCTCCCATTGACGAGCGGAACAACGGTATGCTCCCCAGGCTCGGGCCCTGGGCTTGGGGTGGCCGCGCCCACGGGCAGCCTCAGCTCTGCAGCCTGCCACGCACCACAGTGTCAGTGCGAGCTCACTGCCACTCAGTCCTGCCTCGCCCAGAGAGCGTGCCCGCATGCATGCGCACACACACACTCACACAGACGTGTTTGCATGTGGAGGCAGCAGACTGAGGTTTGTGGACCCAAGCTTGATCTAAGCTTCTGACTCACCAAGTTAAATGGGAATTGTTGCTGATTCATGCAAGGTATTGGCAGCCTGCACGCTGATATCTGGAAAGAGAAAGGCAACACTGTTCTGTGCTGGGAAACATACCGCTGGATTAAATCCTTTCCGTGCACTTACAGACATCCAGGGTTACGTTACATGGTGAACCACACCAGCCAGACAGCTGCTCAGACACTCAGGCTGTCTTGCCTGATACACTCCCATAACCAGCCCGTTTTGGTGTAAGCCCCAAGCTGGTCGCGTTGTCTCAATCAGGGGCAGGCGGCAGGGAAATGCTGTCTGTCTGGAGGACCTAAGCAATGCTTAGCACTCACCACAGATCCAGCTCACGCCAGGAGATCCAGGCTAGGCACAGGCGACTTGGGAGCCACAGCCGGTCACCAGCTCCTGCCATCTTGCTCAGGGGGGAGGGCCCGGCCAAGGGCCTCTTGAATCCACTCCCACCTGCGCTGCGTCAGGAGCCACTTAGACTCCGGGTGCTGACCTCATCGCCTCCCATCCCCCTGCCTCCCCCGCCAGCCCTAAAGGAACCTGGTCTGGGGAATGCCTGTTCTCAAGATACCGCCTTCTTCCTCCTCTTGACCACCCGCAGGCACGATCACGTGGGAGAACCTGGCGGCCGTCTTACCCTTCGGAGGCACCTTTGACCTGGTCCAAGTAAAGGGCTCCACCCTGAAGAAGGCCTTCGAGCACAGCGTGCACCGCTACGGCCAGTCCACCGGCGAGTTCCTGCAGGTGGGCGGTAAGTCCCTCCCGGGTGGGGCGGGATTCCCGGCTGGTGGGCTTCGCTCCTCTTCACCAAGACCTCTGTGGCCAGGCCTGTTCAGGTTTCCCATAGGCCAACCCTGGTGCACAGTCTTTTAAAGGATGTGGCCTCGCAGACCACCGAGATGAGGTCAGCGCCAGAGCCCCGAGGCCCGGCACTGAGCAGTATTGACAGTCCGATTGGGACAGCAGGTGGGCCCTATGCAGGTGCAGGCCCTCCTAACTCGAACGGGCCAGCTGCCTTGAAGTCGTTTCTATTAAAATCTTAGTTGTTCATTCAATACTCTTTATAAAATAAAATAAAGTCCTTCCTGTGTTCTAGTCATAACCATCTGGAACCCTGCAGAGGTTCAGAGGCGTGCAGCATCCAATCAGTTATTAACACGGATAATTTCCGGGAGGGGCAGCCTGCTGCGTAGACACACCTGATTATTGAAGCAGGACAAATTGGGCAGGACATTTGTTCTGGTCGGGCTCCAGCCCTGGCCTCACCCTACGGTGGTCTGATTCCACGGTGACCTGGGCAAGTCCTCAACATCTCCGAATGCAGAGGAAACCTGCCTGCCCTGCTCATCCCACCAATTCCAGTGAACAGCGAATGAAAATAAATGCTTCCGAAATTGCCAAGGACTTCTGAAACGCTTTTGTCAATAATTCCACAGCCCCGTGCATTAACCTTTACATTAACATTCTTACTTGGCCCTGAAAGGATATCCTGGCCTCGTTTTGGTTTTTTTTACTGTAGATGGTGGCCCCGCTCGATGGGTGTGACTGTGTCGCTCTCCCTCTGCAGAACGCTTGGGACTGAGGGGCTGCAGAAGGTGGGGGGCCTGGGCTCGGGCCTGCTGCCTGAGGGGTAACACACACGTTCTGCGTTTTTCCAGGAGAGAGTGGGGGGAACAGCGGGTTTTGATGCTCCAGCCCGGTGCTGGGGAGTTGTATGTCCTGTGGAAGGCACTCAAGTCCAAATTATCACCATTTTGTACTCTTCAGCATTGTAACAAATGGCCTGCCCCTCTCATCTATTTCTCATTTTCCAAAGCTGCTGGACCAATTCATTTGGATTTTGGAAAGATGTAGTTTCTCCCACGGAGCCAGTCCTTGCCCATTCTCAGCCAGAGCCCGTTTTCCTCCCGTGATTCTCAGGCCTCCCAGAAGGACTCACCCTAACCAGGAAAGGGTAGCTGCACTGTCACCTCAACTCCTGCTGAAATTTCACTCACGCTCAAACTCATTGAAAACCAAGCCCAGGGCCCCAACTCCAGGTTTTGGCCAATATCTTTTTCTCAGAAAACAGAAATTTCCCTTTGGGTCCAGTGAAAACATACAGACTCATTTCTTTTCTAGGAATCCACGTGGTGTATGATCTTTCCCGAAAACCTGGGGACAGAGTGGTCAAACTAGATGTTCTCTGCACCCGGTGCCGAGTGCCCCATTACGAGCCTCTCAGAACGGATGAGGTGTATAAGGTGGTCCTCCCGAGCTTCCTTGCTAACGGTGGAGATGGATTCCAGATGTTAAGAGAAGAGGTACTAGAACATAACTCAGGTAAGCACAGGTGCCTGTTCCTCTCCACATCCCACAGGTACTCAGGAACAACAGTGCTGGTCCAAAGCGGGGAGCTACTCACGATGTCAGAGCAGCGAAGGCAGAGGCCAGCTCCCTCCCGTGTGTGGGAACATGTGCCTGTCCCTTCCCAGCACCCATACCCAGCCATCCACACCAGGGAAAATGCATTTATAAATCAAAACTGTTTTTAAAACTCTTTTATGTACATATAAACAGCTATTTAAATGTTGAAAAATGAATTTTTTCATTTACAGAAAAAACATACCTCTAGAACAGGGGTGGGCAAACTTTTTGACTCGAGGGCCACAATGGGTTCTTAAACTGGACGGAGGGCCGGAACAAAAGCATGGATGGAGTGTTTGTGTGAACTAATATAAATTCAAAGTAAACATCATTACATAAAAGGGTACGGTCTTTTTGTTTTGTTTTGTTTTATTCATTTCAAACGGGCTGGATCCGGCCCGTGGGCCGTAGTTTGCCCACGGCTGCTCTAGAACTTTAGGTTGGCCGTGGAAAATCATCATAGTACATCTCAGCTTTCTACAAGAAGCTTTTAGTGTGAATGGGTCAAGGGGTGCATGGGAGATGACCCCGCCCTATATCCAGTAGTTTGCTTTCATCTATTTCTTTCATTTGTGACCTATTTCTTTGTCTCCGCATTTTGGCTGCTTCCCTGTGTTGATAGAGTGGTTTTGTGTGCTAGGTGTCCTATAGGGCCCAGTGGCTCAGCCTCACTAATTACCTGAGGTGGACACTCTTGGTGCACCCCTTTGTGTGCTGTGTGCACAGTCTTGTTGTAGTTAAGCCTTGATTGTTGTAGGTATCACTGGAAGGAATTGACCTCCAGGCCAATTGGCTGTGAGGACCAGTTGTGTCTACAATGGGAGAACTTCTGTGCTGGAGACACCCTTATAGGGCAGGACTTGCTTCAGTGGGGCTTCGGCACTCACTGAGTCTGCCCAGGTTTTTAGGTGGAGAAAGGCCAGGCCATTCATATGCAAAAGCCTCTGCACAGGGCTTGGATGGGGTTGTAAATTGGGTGGGGTGGGATCTCAAGGAATCACCAGGGCGGAGGAAACCGCAATGGCTGCCAGTCTGCTCTGCCTCGGGGAGGTCCCCGGATCTGTGTCCCACGGCCCGTGCAGGAACAATAACCGCTGCAAGCACCTCTGGGAGAAAGCCACCCTCCCGTTCCTGCTGATGCCAGACAGTCCAGTTTCTCTCGGTATGAGTCTGGGTCCCCAAATTCTCACCCGGAACTGGAGGGAGCTTGTATCTCCCTCCCAATTGAAAAAGACAACAGCGTACCCAGCTGCCAGCCCCTTTCACGCATGCCTCCATACCTCCGCACTTCCACACCTCTGTACCTCCTACCGGACTCAATTTGCTTTTCTCTTTCCTTCTAGCTGTAGAATTTCCACTCAGCCAGCATTCCTGTGGTTCTGGGTGATATTCGTCTTTTAGTTGTAGCTTTAATGTGGTTGTGCGTGGCAGCAAATTCAGGTGTTTACCTGTGCCGCCATCTTGGTTCTCCTGAGCATCTTTTCTTATGTCTGTTGGCCATCGGTGTGACTTTTGTGGAAAAATGTCTATTCAAATCCTCTGCCCAATTTTAACCAGATTTTTTTCTACTGACTTGTATGACTTCTATATCTTTTTTTTACTACAAACCTCTTATCAGATACATGATTTATAGAGTGGTATTTTTTAAATAAATTTTGCTGGGTTCCTAAGGGTTTGTTGTAGTAGGCAATTAGTATTTCTTTATCAGCTCTCCTTTTGGAAATGAAGCCCCATTGCCTCTCCAGCAATTATGTGGAAATGATTCTGGAGCAGGCAAGCAAAAGGAAGCCACTGTATGTCTCCACTCGTTTCTCTTGCCCAGTTCCCCAAGTGCTTTAAAGGCAATGATGTCCACAACCTTTCCCCTGAGTTGCATTCACACCTGGAACACGAAAAGGCACTTGTGATCACCGCTCTTCTATTCTTCCGGAACACTTAACCTCTACAACGAAAGGACTATTCCCCCAATTACAATTACAAAGGACTTGAGAGAAATGCATTGGTTGTCTCCTCTCTGACTATTGATACCTTTCCTGTCACTAAAATAATGTCCATGTTTTCCTAGGTGACCAAGATATCAACGTGGTTTCTCAATACATCTCAAAAATGAAAGTCATTTATCCAGCAGTTGAAGGTCGGATCACGTTTTCTGCAGGAAGCCATTACCATGGAAACTTTTATCTAATATTCCTCTCAATTTTGGCAGCTATCCTTGTTTTATACCAATAGCCAAAAAACTCTCCTTGCCATTAATGTGTGAAACTGCCTTTTAAGAACTTTCTTTATAATGGCACAGACCGTCTTCGCAGGCTCCTAGAAGCTGAGCTTAGAAGATCGTAAATAAAGACATTGACATCGTCACTCAGGATCAACAACTTAGTGAACACACAGGAAAAGAATTTAAAATGAGCCCTGAGAGAGGAAGACCACCGTCTTCGGTTTGCATATGCATATTTTAAGCTGTTCAGAATACTTAATGGACTCCTCTCTTCATGGATAACAAATTTCTACTTTATTTCTGGTCTCTTCTTTTTCCTGTTATAGTAAGTTGCATGGACTAAATAAGAGCATCATTCTTCCTTGTGCCTCCTACGTTCCTTTGATGAGTCAAGGAACAAATGATGCAGCAGATAATGGGACCGGCTAGGTCAAGGGGCGGGAAGAAAGGGAAGGGAAGGAAGGGCATCCAGGACCGATTTTCATCGCAGAAGAGAGCTAAAGGACATAGGTTTCTTACATAGATATTTCCTGAGAGTAGCAGCATAGTGCCTGGCACATGGCATTAACTGTTTACGAGATTCCATCGGTTCTGCTTCTGTGCTCTTTCCTTTCTTCTTAATTTTAAGGTGTCATGAGAAGAGAACCTTCTTAGACCAGGTGTCATTCTAAACCTCCCCAGCAAGTGCCAATACTGTACTTATTCTAGTCACACCACAAACACACACACACTCCCCCGTCATGGCACACCTAGAGGGGAGACAAGGGTTGATTTTTAAAAAAAGGTGTACAACAGCAGTTTGAAGTCAGCTCTGCCTCCAACCTGGAACATCACTCTTAAGTCATTCTCAAGTCTACTAGTAGATATGAGAGCTCCTACCTGGGCGTGGGCCCCTCTGCGTGGGTGCTCAGGAAATACCCAGACTGAAGAGATGATTTTTGCCCAAAAGTGGTTGTGGGAACATGTGAACCTGCTCAGCGTTGCATGATCCAATGAGAAAGGGAAACCTTCACCTTAGAAAACAGTGAGCACCTAAGAAAGAAAGAGCACCTACAATGACCACAAAATAAAACTAAACAGAAACTTGTATGGACCATAAGGGAGTATGGGAGGAGTTTCTGGGGTGCTACAGTTTTCCATGTCTATCTGGTTGGTCACAGGCTTGTCCAGTGTGTGAAATCCATTGAACTGTACGTTTGTGATTTATACACATTTCCAAATATATTTATGCATATAAAAAAGTTAAAAATAGTGAGCAAACAGTAGCTAGAGGTTTGGAGAGGGAATATGTTTATTTCTTAATGTTTACAAATATTAAATACCCTTGGCATAGAATATACTTGTCATAACATCTGTATAAAGGTTGTGGCAGTAAAATAATGTCCTTAGTTCTATGTATATACACATTCTCTATAAATAATGTCAGTAAGATTGTAGGGAGCCCTAGCTGGTTTGGCTCAGTGGATAGAGTGTCAGCCTACGGACTTAAGGGTCCTAGGTTCGATTCTGGTCAAGGGCACATACTTGGGTTGTGGGCTCGATTCCCAGTAGGGGGCGTGCAGGAGACAGCCGATCAATGATTCTCATCATTGATGTTTTTATCCCTCTCTCCTTCTCCTTTCCTCTGTGAAATCAATAAAAATAAAAACAAAAAAGATTGTAGGGAAAATTAGAAGGGCATTTGGGGTATATTTTTTATGCTTGGACTTGTAAAATAGAATAAATTCTACTAGAGCACAAACTTTAAAGAACATTTTTATAACTTTTCTAAATATGTGTGCATGTGTTGTGCAATGGTTTAAGAAATGACCTCAAAAAGCTTTGTAATTGCAGATTCCAAACAATAAAATTGAAGATAGGCTCTTTGTCTTTGGTAGTTATTTCTTCTTTCTAGTGAACACCTATAACCCAAGACAATAAGAAAACTTATTTCTGACTGACAGAAAACTAACAATTTACTGATATCATTTCCCTTGATCATAGGCCACTTGCTATCAATAACCCTCCCTGTCCCCCATCTCACCCCAAAAATGGAAAGAAAAATACACGTAATTTTTAGGGAGGCGGGAAGAGTAAGTAAAGAATATTTTAAGTAAGACTACACTTTCTGGCTTTCATATGTAGAATCTGATGTAGAAACTGTTTTGAGGCCTGTAATGGTTTCCTAGAAATAAAAAAGGCCCACGTTAGCGTTGGGGATTTTAACTGATTTATCTGAACTGGTTGTGCATTTAAGAATCTTCAAGCGTACAGATGACACAATAGACTTTAATCAATCAGACACATTAAATCCATTTGGTGGCGGAGTGCCTTCAGCAACTTGAGACAGTGAGCTGGCTTTCTAGAAGAAAGCTTAGGCTGCCAACAGCTGTCCTTTAGAAAAAGTTGCTCCCTCGGGGAGTATGCAGTCCCATGGATGTTTGGCTAAGTTTGCCTAAATTAGGAAAGGTCCTGGATTCATTTCATGGGACTACTGTAACGAAGTGCCACAAACTGGGTGGCTTAAACAGCAGATAATCATCTCAGTTCTGGAGGTTTCGAGTCTCAGATCAAGCTGACAGGGTTGGTTCCTTCTAAGGTTTTGAGAATCTATTGCACATAAATTAAAACGACTGTTGAGCAATTCAACAGTCTGCAGAGTTTAGTAGTCCCATTCTCTAGTCCAGGGGTCGCCAATCTTTTGGACCTCAAGGACCACCAGTGGTCCGCGGACCACAATTGGCGACCGCTGCAAGCATGTCAAACTCAAAGGCTAACACGGGCTGAATAAACAAGGTTTAAGTTTATGTGGGCCACACAAAAAAACAAAAGCTTCAATTTTCATAGAAACGTAGGTTTATTTCGATTGAGACATGCTGAATACAAAGGGCTGAAATAAATGAGTAATTGTTAACAAAATAGAACATTTTAATAAAAATTAATTTTTTCTTGAATATTAACTTACCAGACACTGAATAACTGCACAAATTAATAAGCATAACTCAAATAAACCTATTTTTTTTGTTCTCCAAAAGCAAAGTATTTCCTGTTGCGCACACCAAACAAGTCAGTACAAGACTAATGATGTGGAAATTGGCTGCTAGAATATTCCCTGCTAGTATTAGTGGAGAGAAATGGTGTGCCTGTGCGTAAGGCGTGTTAGGGAAATGAATGCAACACGATTATAGTAATCAGTCTTTAGTTCATTATTAATAATATATATCAAGATATTGTAAAAATTAAGTTACAACATTTTTACAAAATTTTTATTAAAACATTTCTCACATACCATTATATTGGCTGGGCTGCAAAAATATTCGTTGTGGGCCACATGCAGCCCGTGGGCCGCGAGTTTATCCCTCTGGTGTTCGCCTGCCACCCTAAACTTATTTGTTCTCTTATGCACTTAACTTCTTTTAACTATTCAATCTGCATGGCTGATTTCTCACCCTCTTCTGTTCTTTTCTTCAGTGTCCCACCCAACATTATTTAAAATTGTAACCCTGTACCCATACCACTCTATTTCCTTTCTCAGTTTATTTTCCTCTGAACACTTACTTTATAACATATTATACTATTTCTTCACTTATTATTTATTGCACAAATATATCCCTAACATCTAAAACTGGCACATAGTGAAGGCTAAATACACATTTGTTGAATTGAATGAATCGCGCATAATTCCCTCTCTCAGACCTCTGTGCCACCCCCTTCACTCAGATGAAAAGCCACACAGTCCTTTTCTCCAGGATCATCTCCTCCAAAGAAAACAAAGAATATAATTTCTCTACCTACAAACACAAACACCCTTTTCTTTGTGCAGAGCAGTTTGACTCCTGTTATTCTAACCCTTCTAAAACCAAAAGACCAATTAACTCTTCCCCAAAAAGGATGGCTGACTTTTTCCAAAGATTAAATTTTGTAGCCTCCTTCCCCTACTCCCTAAAATGAAGATGATTACAATTTTTCCAGCAGTATCTCTTTTCCCTTCTCCCTTTTGTTCTACATCAGGGATTAGCAAACTACAGCCTATGGGCAAACCCTGCCTGCCACTGCTGGATGAAAATAAGATTTTATTGGAATACAGCCACATCCATTACTTGGAATGAAACAATATGTTGAAATAAAAACACAATTTTTCACTGGATTTAACCATCTTCTAGGGGCCCAGAGGCCGCAGGTTAAATATCTCTCCTCTATGTACCCAGCACTGTTAAAGATATTCTTAAACATATGAGACCATACACTGACATGAAGTACAATATAGTGGACTAGCAAGATTTGTTTGCTCAGTCATTATTATTCTAATGCTGATTATATCTGAAATTACAACTTATATATATAACATTAGTTTGCTAAGAAGAGTGGTAAAATAGACTTGTTTATATTCTAGTGTAAAATTTAATGGTTTTTGCCCTAGCTGGTTTGGCTCAGTGGATAGAGCATTGGCCTGCAGACAGAAGGGTCCCAGGTTGGATTCCAGTCAAGGGCACATGCCCGGGTTTCGGGCTCCATGGAGGGGTGTGCAGGAGGCAGCCAATCAATGATTCTCTCTCATCATTGATGTTTCTGTCTCTCCCTCTCCCTTCCTCTCTGAAATCAATAAAAAATATGTTTTTTAAAAAATTTAATGGTTTTTAATAAGTCAATAAATGGTTAAGTGCTTGCTTTCAACCATTTATCAGAATCTTCTGATATCTATAACTAAATGATCATACTTGTAACATAATCTTCTGACCTTTATGAATTTCAAAGTGCTTTCCGTATGTTTAATTTCATTTTATCCCCCTAATCAGAAATACCAATAACACATTTGAAAAATGTGAAAGCTCATACAGTAGAGGACACTCTTTATATAAAGACGGATAGAAAGAAAAGTGCAAAGTAAAATATTTGCAATATACCAGGGGAACATACTGTCTATAGGGATCCAGAAAGTGACTACTTTTGGAAATAAAAGCTCCTTTCATGGGGAAACACTGACAAGATCATGAAAACTAGAGAGACAGATCTAAGTCTAACCTCACCCCTC